AACTGCCTAGCGCTGCGCTTTATGGACCTATCGGTTCCTTGCAAGGTACCGGGACAGAGCAGGATGCAGTTTGGGACAACACATCTAAACCTAAACCTGAGTGCAACATGCATGATCGGTTCATGCCCCTGTCGCTGGCGCGCGGTCCTTGCACAGAGTGAGGCTTTTCTAGTTCTTGCTCTCGGAGCATTTACCCGAATCTCTAAACCCTAAACCCTAAACCCTAAACCCTGAATCCTAAAACCTAAACCCTAAATCCTAAACCCTAAACCCTAAACGCATTTACGCTTCTTCGCCTGAGCCCCTGCGGAAGAATTCACGGTCTTGGGCGCTGCTCTGAGGCCTGTGATTCAGTCACCTGAGACAGACCCCTCAATCACGAAACCGAAAACAAGTTCAGAGTTTAGAGATCGAAGACTTTGGTCTAGAGTGAAATCTTTGGGGAAAAGTGCTGCGACTCCGGGTTTACGTGTCGAGGAGTGTGGGCTTCGCAGGTCTGCCGGGCCTGAAGAGCATGATTCCTTTGGTGTTGGTGAACATGGCGGCATCGTTCATGCGCCGGGATGACTTGAAGTAGTAGCCGTTCACCTGAGATTAAAGATCCAAGCATACTAGGGATGAAGATCACACTCCTAAGTATCCATGCTGACGAGCTTCCCTTCGGTTTCTGACAGTCGGTGTTGGGTTCAAGGTTTAAGGTGGTCGAACTCCAACTGCAGCTCATGGCAGACAGCACCTTTCACATCACATTCTGACCGCGGAATCCTGAAGCCAAACGCCCACACCTTCCCCGCAAGAAGTGAGCCCCATGCACCAAAAAGCCTTGATAGCCATGAGGAAGCCATGAGTCGAATGCACTGCGGTTTTCGGGAAGCTTCAAATCTTTGGGGCTGTAAGGGTTTAGACCCTCGACAGCCGCCTCACAGAAGCCTCCCGAAACCCCTGCCCCCAAGTACTCGAAAAAAGAAACCTTGAAACCCTAAAACTCCTCAGCACTTCCGGGTGGGACCAGCCCTAAACCCGAAACCCTCGGTCTTTTTTAAAAGAAGTTTAGGCCTGAACGGTATGACACAACGATCGTCCCTGAGCAGCTGGGCAGCAATGCTCACGCCAGCCTTTTCAACCAGGTAAGCAGCTGGCTGTACGATGACCTGCGGTTTTACTTAAAGGATCATGGGACTTAGTAAGTAGGGTTATATATAAGGTAACTATACTTATAACCCCAATTAGGGGACTTATAACCTTACTTACTAAGTCCCCTGATCCTCCAAGCAGGGTCAGCAGGAGAGGAAGGAGGTAGGGTCGAGGCCCCTACGAGCGGGATTGTTGTCGACTGTCGCTGTAACACTCACTGCCCCAGGAGCTTCAGGGTGGATGGAGGAGTTGAGCGATGAGCACATCCAAACTTGCAGAACTCCGAAACCTCAAAGCCCTCTTGGGTCGTAACCGAAGCCCAAAGACCCCCACCTCTGGCATCCAGGTCTGCGCCTAGAACCCAGAATTGAAAACGACGACTTCTCTCCACCGCATCAACCATGTTGCTACGATGGCTGCCTCTATCCCTATGTCATGACGTTGGTTTCCATCTGGCAGTCCACGGCCTGGATCGTCGAATCGAAGGTAATGCCGGCACCTTCGCTCGAACAGCAACGAGAGACTCGTGACAGACTGCCTTCAGCGCAAAAGGTCGTGGGGGATTTGAACGGGGATCGGGGTCTTGAGGATAACCTCCACTAACCTCCCATCTAACATCTGGCATCCCTATACCCCAGCGGATTCGCTCCGCTGTCATATGTCTGCCCAGCGAGTCTAAGACAAAAAAGGGCCCTGGACTTTGACCTTTCAGGCTAAAGCCTCTACATAAGGCTCTTAGGCCCCAAACCCTAAACCCTAAACCCTAAACCCTAAACCCTAAACCTAAACCGTTTATGGAGGAGCCGAGCCTGCGGCCCCCCGTTCTCGCGTCTCTGATGCATCGCTCGTGCTGTACGAAGATAATAAGATTGAATACTTGGAGGATCATGGGACGTAGTATGTAAGGTTATAAGTCCCCTAATTGGGGTAATAAGTATAGTTACCTTAGTTATAACCCTACTTACTAAGTCCCATGAACCTCTAAGTAAGACAAGACGAAGTGCGCCCTAAACCCTAAACCCTAAACCCTAAACCCTAAACCCTAAACCCTGAACCCTAAACCCTAAACCGTTCCAGGTTCGTGGGGGTTCTGGGCAGCTTGCGGTTTCGGGACTTGGGGCTGGGTGCCTTGGCTCTAGGCTTCTCTCGTCTGCCCGGTGCCAAGCGAATTTCAAGTCGAGGTCTACCACGAGATTGGGGGTTTAGGGTTTAGGGTTTAGGGGTTTAGGGTTTAGGGTTTTTTCCCACCCGCCTAGCTGACTGCGTCGCACTGCAGGGAACTAAACTACGATACAGGAAAAAATGTGCACATTGTGCACATCCGCGGAGTCGCGGAACAACATGTTACAAGCGCGCTCTAGTGGGGAGCTGTATGAGGATAGCTTGCAAGGTTTAGAGTTTCGGGTTTAAGGGTTTAGGTTTAGGGTTTAGGGGTTTAGGGTTTGGGGGTTTAGGGTTTGGGGTTAGAAAAGTAGCCAAGTTTCTGCCGACTGTCTGCTGGTCATCAAGGATCGTCCCTGCAGGTCGGAAAAAGGCAATGATGCTCGTCGGACTTTGTTGTCCCGTAAGCTGTAAACCATAAAAGCCCTGCCAGGACCCTTCAGTACTTCGTCGGCAACAAGAGAACGTATCCTTTATTGCCCATTTGCCTGACAACCGCAGTCGGTAGCTATCGTTTGTCACATGCACCTGCATACGGGCACCAGCTGAAACGGACAACGCTTTTGCAACTAGCTTGCAACCGTCACGCAGTGGACAACCCTGAAAACTAAACCGTAAACGCGAAACCCTAGCACGTAAACCCCAAAAACAAGCACACGAAATACAAACACAACGGTTTGAAGTCACATGCGCCGGCCTGGGGCCCACATGCCAATGAACTTCCAGGTTTGGACCCTACATCCAATATCTCAGAGGCTTTGCAGGAGAGGCGCTTGGATACAAAACTCAAAAGTTAGACTTATAAACAACAATTTCCAGCACAATTCCGGATACAACTGAATAATTTTCCCCTTGAGGAGGCGCCCTCGAAGACCAACTTGGACGGCCAGCGCTCTTCACCCAATAGGGTCTGAAGATGCTTTTTCACGTCCGCCACCTCTCGGTGGTGATGTTACGAACATTACAGAATGCCTGTGCGATGATGGCATGGGGTAAACAGCTTGGAAAATGGCAACAAAAATAGACTCTGGCACGGAGCTTCGAGATCAGCGCTAGCCTATCCGTCTCGTGATGCACCTCGAGCTGCAGTATGGCTCGAACTACTACAACATGGGCCCCGAACTTCAGAGGCTCAACATTCCAGAACGGTCAGAACTTGTACTCCCTCGATAGCACTGCAGGTATTTCCTATTTCATTTTCAGAGGTGTTCGCCATGGCTACACGCGTGCCGGCAGGATAATCCACAGGCTCCAACATGCTGCCTCAAGCATCGGAATCCAAAGCCAATGCATGTACCGTCTGCTCCCTTATCACCAGTCTAGTATCGGCTCGTTCAGAAAATGCTCGGATCGTTCAGAAAATGCTCGGAATTTCCACAATCCACGTGTTGAACCCCCAACTCTTCTCCCTGCCCAGCCAGCATGGGACGATTTAGCCGCTGCTCACCGAGCGCTTCCCCGGAGAGCCTGAGCACAGCATGATTTCTTTGCTGTAACCAAGCTATGCCCAGGTGATATATATATATATATATATATATGGGTAGTTCTCTAAATTAGGGTCCCTTTTTAAGTCCCCAATATAGTACGGAACCCTTATAAAAAGGACCTCAAAAGGGACCCAAATTAGAAAACTACCCATATTACCTTTGTAAACACAATGCAAAGTTGCTCGAGGGTTGAGCCATGGCAAGCCTTCCAAAAAACTATTTAAGCTGATTGTCTACGTCCGTGATAGGGCTCCAGGCACCGTTACAACGCCGCTAGCTTCACGATGGCTTTGGAAAGCATGGTGCACTACAATATGGCAAATTATGACCAACATGACAAGAACTTCGGAACAAGGCTCATGATGAAGTTCACGTTCAATTCCTCCTCGGCCTGCCAAGAAGCATCCGCGAGTCCAAGCTTGCATGCATCTCGACCTTTTCGTGTGCCCAACTACACAAATTCATTTCTTGGCGCCTCGGCTGCCCGGATGCGGTCGGCATACTCCAATAGCAACTGGGCGGCTAGGGTTGAAGCACTGCAACGTCGGATGTTTGGCATCACATCTTTGATTGAAGCAGCTTCATACATCTGCAGGGCAGCATTGGCACAGCATGGCACAGCACTCCTATCTCCAAGCCTCCACATGAGCTCGTGCAGCCACGCGACAGTACGCCCTGCATGGACTTGCTGCCGCTTCTTGGGGCAACAGTGCGGTTGCAGCAAATCTTGCAACCAGTGCTCCACCACCTTCCATCAAGACACTGTCAATTACTAATTAAATGCGTCCCGGCACTATATGACTATGCGCGAGTAGCCGTACGTGCCATCACGCAACAGATGCTTCACGAAGAAGTAACCTAGCGCCAACTCATCCCTGTGCACGGGCATCAGAAACAGTTCTACAACATGTGCTGCCTCCAAACTCAATGCACCCTGTTCTTCCGGACCCACCATGGTTGCGTCGGAAAGGAAAAACTACTGGCGGTACACAAACTGTCATGGATGTTCATCAGGTCGTGTTCGTCATGCAACGCTGTCATCAGTATCTACGAATACATACACACTGTTCTTTGGCCTGGGCTGTCAGAGGAGTGCCATATTTCGCTGTTTGGATTGGCTGTGGCTGTGGCACTTGGGGTGTGTCTCGAGCCAAGTCCAGCAATTCCGACAAAGATCCAGCAAAATATGCAACAACTTTCCCAAACATGTCGGCTGTCCTATCCAGGCTTCTCCCACCGCCTGGGCTCGTGTAGAATCTTTGCGATGCCCGACAAACGCGCACTGCCCAGTAGCAACCTGTACAATAGCGCCCTGCAAAGGCCCAAGCACATCCACCGCCGAAGTTCGTCGGGTCGCCTACGCTGACAACATGTGACATCATGTGACGAAGAACTGTCTATACCGCCGGAGACAAGGTGCAACAATGCACCAAACATGTGATGATTACAACAAGCAGCGGCGAAGGCTGCACTCGGCTCTTCGTAAGCCCCTGGCCGAGGACATAACCGCAGTCCGACCTGGTTGACATAAAAACATGCTTAAATCTAAACATGTGATTTTTATGTTAATGTCACGCCTTTGTTCTGTGATTTAAGTACACCCTGTCTACATCCACGTGTGTCGGAGGAATCGTCAAAAGCCATTGTGACTCAAGGCATGGCTCCCTGGACTGTTCCTTGGAGCTTCCAGTCTGGTCTTGATCGAATCTTGCTCAGCCTGGGGTTCCTGCAGAACCGTTGTGATTCAAAAGCACAACGGTTCTCTGGCTCCAGAACACGCTGACGCTACAGGCCGTCAAGTCGTCTGATGCTGCAGACGCGCGCTCTGGGGCTGGCACCCCCCAAAGAAGGAAGCCCTGCGCCCTACCCCGGCGCCATCCGGGCCACCCCCAAGCTTGCCCCCTAACATTGCTCGCGGCTACTCGACAGGCGAAGCCACCCCGCACGTGTCCAACGAAGACACTCACCAACTACTGATGACTGTTGTGCATTCTGTGCCGGCGCTGGCGGCAGACAGCGCAGCTGCGCCAGAAATGACCTCCACTACACCGCCTTGGCGTCCGGCACACGGCTACACCAGGGCGCGATGAAAAGTGACAGCGAGACGAATCCGTTAACGGCCCCTTGGCGCGTCATAGCTTGAAACTTCTTTCTTTGTCAACTCGTTTGATGGTAATACTTATTTGGTGAACAGCACACGAAACAATAAATTACGAGAAACGCAAGTAAAATGCCGCGAAAACCAACCTCGATGAAGCGCTGGCAAGCTCTACTCGCGAGATAGACAACTTGTACAACCTACACACACGGAGTTCACTGGCGTTCACAAGTTCACAACCAAAAACGGTTGCATGCGTTGGGTCAAGTCTGAATGTCGTCAAGGTTCACACGCCGCAACAGCTCGGGAAAAATGCGCGACGTAGGCAATACTGCGTGAAACGTCACGCGCGCTGTTGATGTGGGGGGTTGGTACTGGAGAGCTGGTGTAGCGACGGCATGGGAGAGGTGGGCTGGGCATTATGAAGACGCAAGATGCATGGGGATAGACTTATTCCGCGCGCTGGCGCTGGCGCTGGCGCTGGCGCTGGCGCTGGCGCTGGCGCTGGCGCTGGCGCTGGCGCTGTGGGGGTGGGGAGGATTGGCGCTGGCGCGCTGGCGCTGGCGCTGGCGCTGGCGTTCTGTGGGCCGTGCCGGCGCTGGCGCTGTGGAGCATGGCATGGCGGGAGGTGTCAGGGTGTGGCTGGCGCTGCTGGCAGTGCGGGGCAACTGCTAGATGTACTGCCACTACTACTACCGCTACTGCGACTGCTACCTGCTACTGATACAATACTGCTGGTAGTACTACTACTACTACTACTACTACTACTACTACTACTACTACTACTTAGAGATTCTGGTCGTTAGCTAGCATTTGAACATAATTAACATACTTACAACCGAAGTTTAAAAATATCTAAATAATTAACTTGGTTTTAAGCTCCAAGTTAGCAAGTGTTTATAAGTCAAAAAATTAGATTAAAAACTTTTTTTGCGCCCCTTTTCGAACAGTGACCGCGGTCCCAGTGCGAGTTTCAGCTGCGAGCTACGGGAGGGTTCAAGGCGCCGGCAGGCGGCTGGCGACGAGCGGGGGGCCGCCGCGAACCTCGGCGAGGACTTCGTGGAGGTCAGGCGCCGCGCCAGCATCGCAAACGTCACCACCAGGCAGCTCAAGGAGGGACGCCGCAAAGGCACGCATGGCAGCGACCGCAAGGAGGCCGGACCAACGTTGCACCCAGCCTGCACAGGCCGTAGCCCGGAGGAGGGGTGGAAGGCTGGCCGCTCGGTGCCGGGCAAGGTGACGGAGGTAGGAGGCAGCTTCAGCACCGAAGCGCCCGCCGACCTCGACCCCGATAACGACGAGACGGGCCCGTCGCGCGCTAGCGAGCTCGG